AACATAAACAGAATGAGACGATTGGGGATAAAAGCATCATATAGTCAACCCAGGACACAGGGCCTTACCCACAAACTGCTCCTCCCCATGGCCAGGGCCTGCTCAGGGAGCAGCCAGGGACACAGTCAGGGCTGGCATGTCCTTCCCCACAAACTGCTCCTCCCCACGGCCAGGACCTGCCCAGGGAGCAGCCAGGGGCTGGCACATCCCTTCCTGTGGCTTCTCAGCTCTGCTCCTTGGAGAAACAGGCATTAATGGGGTGAAGAACCTGATTCCAGTGAGGAAACCCCATTTCCCACATTTCTTAACCCAACTCTTCAGTTTTTACTACACTGATAATGGCCCTGAAATGGCTTTAATGCCTGTGGTTTGCTAGGGTGGGCAGGGCCTGGAAAACAAATCCAAGAGGCTTTCACTCCATCCATGAGCCAGAGGCAAGGCCAGGATGATGCTCAGGGGGTGGTGGTGGCTGCCACCCTCTGCTCTGTGTGACACTGGGGTGTGACAGTTCTTTGGGCACAGCAGGCAAAGGCAGATGATGTCCCTCACCAAAGGCAGATGATGTCCCACAGTAAAGGCAGATGATGTCCCACAGTAAAGGCAGATGATGTCCCCCAGCAGAGGCAGATGATGTCCCCCAGCAGAGGCAGATGATTTCCCCACCAAAGGCAGATGATGTCCCACAGTAAAGGCAGAGATGTCCCCACCAAAGGCAGATGATGTCCATCAGCAAAGGCAGATGATGTCCCCCTGCAGATGATGTCTCTAAGCAGAGGCAGATATGTCCCCACCAAAGGCAGAAGAAGTCCCTCAGCAAAGGGAGATGATGTCCCCTAGCAGAGGCAGATGATGTCCCCCAGCAGATGATGTCCCCCAGCAGAGGCAGATGATGTCCCCACCAAAGGCAGATGATGTCCCCCAGCAGAGGCAGATGATGTCCCCCAGCAGAGGCAGAAGATGTCCCTCACCAAAGGCAGATGATGTCCCTCACCAAAGGCAGGTTCTGCTGCCCTCACTCCCACCCTGCTCTGCTCCAGCTCCAGCTCTCCCCTGACTTTTCCCTGCCAGAATCTCCCTGCTGACAGGGATGGGGGGGCTCCTGCTGGGGAGCTTTGTGCCAGCTGCTCCTGCAGCTCCTGCAGCCAGAGCTCCTCCCTGCCAGGAGCTGCTGGGGACTGAGGGAGCCTCAAGGAGCCTCAAGGAGCCACAAGGAGCCACCAGGAGCCACCAGGAGCCACCAGGAGCAGGAGCTGCCATTCCCATCAGAGAACACCCAGCAGCTGCCTGGGGGTGGGAGATGGGCACCAAAACCTGCTTGGGAGGGGGATTTAAAGGCACAAAATGCCTGGAAACCCACCAGGCTCCTTCAGAGAGATGAGAAATGAGGTGTGAGAGGGATTAAAGCACCTGAGGAGGCGTCAGGATTCCTGGCTTCTCTTGCCTGCCCCATTCCAGGCTTTTTATCCAAACTGGGCTGTTTTCTCCCTCTTTTGGTCTCTGTTTGGCTGATTAGCCCTGGAGAGCATCAAATGAAGGTCATTATTGCCCTGTGTTAATGTCACTCATATCCCTGATTACAGACACCCTGCTCCCACAAAGCCTCCCTGTGTTAACACTCCCAGGAGCTGCTGGAGTGAACCCCTGCCCACAGCAACTGTGCTTTGTCAAAACTTTGCTCCAGGCTTTGATTTTTGGGGCCAAAAGCATCGTTTTTGCCACTCAGGAGGGAGCTGGAGGCAGCTCTCTGAGCACCCCCAGAATGATTCTCCAGAGAAATCCTGATTTTTGTGGCTGAACTGGGAGGAAAGCGAAGATGTGGGAGAAGTGAAAGGGAATAAATGGTTTCGACTTCCAGCTTTTCTAAACAATCACCCTGGATTGTGCTGGGAGGAGGACAGAGCCAGGGAAGCTGCTGGTAGTGTTGATTCCTCGGGATTATCCTGGAGTTTCATTAATTGGGGTGGAGGACTGAACAGCAAACACGTTTGTGCTCCATCAGTGTAAGGAAAGCTCAGGGAATCTTCTGCTCTCCTCCTGTAGCTCTCCCAGAACAGGGCTTGTGCGAAAAACATCCAAATGAGGGAAAAACGCCAAAATGGCACTTAGTGCCCAGTTTTGTGCCTGGCAGGAAGGGAAACCCCTTGTGTGTGCACGGGGAGTTCTCCGTGCAGTCTGGGGTCACAGCTTGGGCACTGAGCAGCAGGGAGGGCGAATGAAGGATCCAGAGGAAGCCAAGCACCCCTGCCTGTGCAAGCTGGCTTTGTTTCCCAGCTCAGGCATCAGGCACCGACTTTTTCCCTAATTATTGCAGCCAGTGTTGCAGCTCTCCTGGGGGATTTCTCTGCAGGAGCGTGAGCTGCAGATGAGAGCAGAGCATTAAGCAATCCCACGCTCCACATGCAAAATTCAGGATTTCATTCCCAAGGCTGGACTGTGGGCACGTGTCAGGGTGAGGGAAGCACTCAGGGCTCTGGAGGTTTTCCTGTGAGGCCAGAGCCCAGGGAGCTGCAGTTTGGGATGAGGAGCCAGCACCTTGGAGATCCAGGTCTTCCCTCAGGAGACACCAGGGCCTTCAGCTCTCAGCAGCTTTTCACAGAATTGGGGAATTGTGGAATTTCCAGAGTCCTGGAATGGTTTGGGTGGGAAGGGAGCTCAAAGCTCATCCAGTCCCACCCTGCCATGGCCAGGGACACCTCCCACTATCCCAGGGTGCTCCAAGCCCCGTCCAACCTGGCCTTGAAGCTTTCCTTGAGGGAGGCTGTGGTGGTTTGACCAGGAAGAAGTGGGAATTCGGGGATGCTGTGATCAATCTTGGCTTTACTGAGCTGCTGGGAGATGGAAAGTCCCAGCGATTTGGGGAAGAGGCAGGAGATGCTGGGCTCCTCCCAGGCTGAGCCTGGGCTGCTCTGCCTTTAGTTTTCTTTTAAACCTCCAGAACAGCCCTTATGAGCTACAGGATCCCTGATTTATGGGTTAGGAGCCCTTTCCCTGCGCATAGACTGTGCTGTAGGACAAGAGCACATTTAACACTTTTCCTTTTTGCTCTTTGGGTGTTCCTTGGATAAGCAGTTGCCAACTCCTTTATGTACAGACCCTGCACCCCTTGCAGCCCCTCAGGAGCTCTGGTGGGCTCCCAGGTCGGTGTCTGACGGGCAGCTCTGTGTTTGCAGGGTGTGGAGGGAGGCCAGGGATCGCATCGTGGGCTTCCCGGGCCGCTACCACGCCTGGGACATCCCGCACCAGTCCTGGCTCTACAACTCCAACTACTCCTGCGAGCTCTCCATGGTGCTCACTGGTGCTGCCTTCTTCCACAAGGTGAGACCTCCCCGCCAGGGCTGCCCCTTCCTGCTCACAGCCACCTCTGAGCCTGCAGATTTGGGGGGGTTTTGGTTTTTTAAGGACAAATGGGGGAATTGTGACAGTGTTCACAGGGGTCTCAGGACGAGGGAAGAGACAAGGATCTGACTCCATGTTTCAGAAGGCTTGAGTTATTATTTTATGATATGTATTACATTAAAACTATACTAAAAGAATAGAAGAAAGGATTTCATCAGAAGGCTGGCTAAGAATAGAATAAGAAGGAATTAATAACAAAGGTTTGTGGCTCGGGCTCTCTGTCCAAGCCAGCTGGGCTGTGATTGGCCATTAATTAGAAACAACCAACATGGGCCAATCAAAAATCTACTTGCTGCATTCCACAGCAGCAGATAACCATTGTTTACATTTTGTTCTTGAGGCTTCTCAGCTTCTCAGGAGGAAAAATCCTAAAGAAAAATGATTTTTCATAAAAGATGTCTGTGACAGGGAAGCTTTCTGCTCCTTCTCCCTCACCTTCTCCAAACTGAAACAACACAACCAGAACCTGGTCCTGAGTGCACTGGGAAGGATCTCCAGTGGATCCACAGCAGCACAGAGCAGGATCTGAGGGGGCTGGAACCCCCATTCCTCCATTCCTGAGCTTCCAGGAGAGGGTGGTGGCTGTGGGGGATTTGCTGCTGCTGTGGATCTCAGTGTGGGATTAACTCTGTTATGGGGAACGTCTCCACTGCGATCCTTGAGTTTTGAGCCAGCCACACCCCACATGTGCCACTGTCACCTTGGAGCACCTGGGGGACACTGAGCCTTTCCCGTTGCAGTACTATGCCTACCTGTACTCCTACGTGATGCCCCAGGCCATCAGGGACATGGTGGACGAGTACATCAACTGCGAGGACATCGCCATGAACTTCCTGGTGTCCCACCTGACCAGGAAACCTCCCATCAAGGTAAAGCACCAGCAGCCAGGGCCTTGTCCCAGGGCTGGCACTGCTGCAGAAGCTCTGCTTGGGAAGTGGGTGGTGTCTGCTCCAGGGAAATCCAGCTCCAGGGGGAAAGCTCAGCCTTTGGAATCTGCCACAGAGCAGGTGAAGTGAGGTTTGACATTACAGGATTGATCAGACTGAATTCCCTGCCTGGTGAAAGGTTCCCTGCCCATGGCAGAGATGATCTCTGCTCTGGAGCCAGGCTGGGAGAGCTGGGGGTGCTCACCTGGAGACGAAAAGGATCCAGGGAGAGCTCAGAGCCCCTTCCAGGGCCTAAAGGGGCTCCAGGAGAGCTGGAGAGGGACTGGGGACAAGGGATGGAAGGACAGGACACAAGGAATGGCTTCACACTGCCAGAGGGCAGGGATGGATGGGATATTGGGAAGGAATTGTTCC